TACAGGAGACCCTCGGGACTCGCGCGGAGGCGCCCTGGTAGACTTAAAGTCCACGCATGTGCGCCATATATAGTGTCTGGGAGGGTTCAAGTTCCAGCCACTCGGCCAATCCTCCAGTCGGTCGAAGAGGCAAGATGGTCGTTGCCCGAGGTATACCGATCCTGATAGGTAAGCGTAACGGCCCTGCCCGTGGGTGTCCCGCAGGCCGCAGACCGGGCAATACTCACTCACCCAACGCAGCCTGCAAAAGTGGGTGCGTACTGCCCATCGAGTCAGCACTCGTCCAGCGCACGGCCGCCCAATACAACCTCTCGGACCCACCACATCAACCCGTGTTGTACTTGAGCTCATCGTAGGCTGACGGTGCATCGCATCCTTACATCCCCACGACCCACCGTCAAGTGTCTCTCACTCGCCGACGACGCTTCTTGCTCCAGAGCAACTTCCTGTTGCGCCCAGATACACATTTAGCAGCATGAGAAGACCGGCCGCGAACCTGCCTCAAGAGATCGTCGATCACGTTGTTGATTACCTTGCCGCGGACGACACCTCCACCAGGACTGACCTCACGAGGACTGCACTCGTCGCCCGCGCGTGGTATCTCCCAAGCCAACGACATCTCTACAGAAGACAGCTGTTTGGTCCGCCGATCCAGGACTTTGTGTCGCGTCTGGAATGGTTCCGTGGAACGCACGGCCAACGAGTCGTTCATCACGTTCGGGAAGTGCAGTTCTGGCGGCTAGACACGGACGAGGGCGCGTTCTTGCAGTACTGGGCCGCCGCGCTCGCGACATTCCCGAACGTGCAAGAAGTCGGTATTCACTTCCACGATGCCGAACTACAGATGCTGCAAAAAGGTGATGTCGGGGTACACGACCCCAGCTTCCCTTCCGTGACCACCCTCCGTCTGTCGAACGTCGCGTTCGCGACGTGCCGCAATCTCCTCACATTGATCCAGACTTTACCGAACCTCACATCGGTGTATATGGACCGCGAAAAGTGGGCATGTGGCGAGCTCATTGATCGTGAACTGTCGCGATGCTCAGGCAGAAGCGCAGTCTGCTCGAAGTGCGTGCGATCGTCGCTGAGGAAGTCATACGTTGCTAAACGCATATTTTTTTTTTTACCTCGCAGGAGTCCTATGTGCATAAACTCGGGGCCGACGTGCAACGTCCTAGCTCTCCGCCACCTCTCCATCGACTGCACAGAGGGCTTGGATCCTCTAGAGTGCACCGCAAGGCATATCGACATGCGCAAACTCGTCTCCCTCGACATCGCGCTACCAAGAGGGCTCGGCTGCTCTCCAGCAGGGCTAGTACCATTCCTCTTAGGCGTCTCCCTACCCCGCGCGCCGCAGGACCACGTACAAGCCCTCCTCTCCTCAGCAGAAGCCCTCGAAACGCTAGTCTACCGCCTCCCGCCCCATCTCACCCGTAAGCGCGCTTCCCCTCATCTCCCTCCAGCCACGCGCTTGCTCAGTGCTCACGCCTATTTTGCCCCTGTCTTGGCACGCAACCACGCAATTACGCGGACTTCGAACACAGACCCTGGCCCCGCGCCATCATGCCCGCGCCTGCGTCACTTTGCGATCCGCGAGCTCCGGCTGGACCTTTTCGCTCCCACGCCCGACAAGCAGAAGCTGCATTGCTTCCCAGGCGCGCTCGCGGCGGTCGTGTCGCCGTGCCTGGAGACGGTCGACATCACGCTCGGCGTGTCCGAGGCGGCCCAGCTGGACCACGTCCCGTGGGAAGACGTCGACCGCGTGCTCGCGGACGCGGAGAAGTTCGCCCAGTTGAGGGAGTGCGCGATCAACGTCGCGATTTTGCAGGTTGGGAGCCAGGGCGGCGGCAGGCGGCGGAAGTTGGGGAAGGAGAGGCACGCACCTCGGACGGTGACGATGGCGGAGGTTCGCGCTGCGATCGTGGGGCAACTCCCGAGGCTGATGATGCAGGGGAAAGTGGGTGTATATGAAGCAGAAGATTTTACTGATAGCACAATATACTAGATAGATGTGATTCAATGTCCAATCGCCATCACGGCTGTACCTCGCTACATATGCAACAGTCCAAGACTCGACAACGAGCAACCGACGGTTGTCTCTGACCCGAAAACTCAGATAGCGATACCTCAATGCCCTATTCAAGCACGACAAACATCACGCGGGATATCAAAATGTGCAGGTTACTGTAACTGAAGCACCGAGCAGTCCGAGAAAATAAGTAGTACGATCATAGCACAGCCGCGAGCGCAAGCGCAAGCACCGTGCTGAACAACCCGACCACGCCCGCCGCGCCACCACCGAGCACGGGCGCCGCGCCGGAGTTGCTGCGGTTCGATCCCTTCGTCGTCGACGCCGGGCTGCTGTTGTTCGTCGAGTTCGCCGCAGTGTTCGATCCCGAGCCGTTCGCGGCCGCAGCCGAGAAGTCAGGGGCACCAGCGAGGAAGACGACGGCAAGACCGGGGCCGGGGACTTGGATCGTGCACCCGCCCGAGCAGGAGACGTTCTTGTCGGGGAGGCTGCTCGGGAACGTCGCCGCGACGGGGTTCGCGTCCCCGACGCCGGCGTACGTCTGTCCGCCCCACGCGAGGTTTGTCTTCTCCGCGAGGGTTGGCGCAGTGAGGTACCGGATCGTGACGGTATCGCTGGACGAGGGCACGAAGCTCGCGTCGATAGCGAAGTCTGACGTCGCGCCGGACGCGTCCGCAAAGTTGAAGACGACGAGGCTGTGCGCGGTGGGCGCCGCGCCGTCGTAGATGGCGTACCCAGCAACGGTCGCGGTCTTGTCCGACATGGAGTTCTTGACGTTGAGGTCGACGACGCGGCTTCCGTTCGTGGAGGCGAGCGCCTCAGCGACAGGGAGCATCCCGTAGAAGCTCGGGTTCGTCGTCCAGGCTCCCGCACCGCCGGCAACCGCATCCGGGGGGTCGAAGAGGTTGTAGGTGATACCGCGCTCACGGGTGTGGATGTATGCGCCCGCATAGCCGATGCTGGCCATTTGGAGCGAGTAGTCCGCCGTCCAGAGGGATGCAGCGAAGGTGTCGGAGATGCCGGGGACACCACCGCACGAGGCCGTGTTGAACTCGTCCATCAGCACCGGCTTGCGGTTGTTGCTCGAAGCGATGACCTGCAGTCCGTGCTCCTGCCAACGTGCGAGAGAGACGGCGTTCGCGTGTGCCGTATAGTAGCTGAGGCCGAATTGTGGTTTACCATTGCAGTTGTTCTGCGGGTAGTGCTGGAGCGTAATGTACTTTAAACGTTCCGCATACTGATCGAGCCATCCGGACTGGATGAGGGAAGCGAGATCCTGTGGCGATCGAGAATGTTAACGATAACATTCGTGGCAACAGGAGAAGTGGCTTACCCAGAAACAGCAGATAGTCGGGCCTGCGATCTTGTCCTCCGACAGGACGTCGCCTTGTTGGGTGTGTTCCAAGTTATTGAACACGGTCTGGAAATCCTGGAAAATGTGTCCCATCAGTCAGGGTCCGTACGTCGCACAATGGTGATCGTGAAAAGCATTGACTTACCCCGATATAGTCGTTGACAGTGTAGTTGGCAATGCCTGGCCTGTTGCCGTGTGCAGTGTACAAGTCGGGTTCCTGCCAATCGAGGTGAGTGCGCAAATTTTAAGCGAGTGCAGCACATAGATATTACATTTCCCAATAACAAGGCGTCCAAGCTGTCACCGAGGGCCTTGGAAGCATCTCCTGCAAGAAGAGGGATGTTCGTGCTGTTGGGCGTCCTCAAACTCAAACCTAACCATATGGCGTCAGCTGACGAAGTTTTCCGATCACCTAAGATCGAAGTGCCTACCGACGAGGTACTGGGCCCCTCCCACGGCGGAGCTCATGCCGTTCATGACATCGAAAAGCTGGGGACCATAGTCCACCGGCTGATCGTCGAAGTCGGCATTGGGGTCGGTGAACTGGATGATCTGCTGCTGGTTGGGCACGTAGGTAGAGCTATCCATAGAGTTGCCGCCCAGCCTGAGGCGCAGAGGCTGCCCGGAGGCGCGGGCCTTGAGCGTAGAGAGATACTTCACAACAGGCTGAGGGATCTGGTCCGTAGTGTTACCAAAATAGTAGTTTATAAACGACAGCTCGAGCGAGATGCCCAAAAAGTTGGAGTAGACCACATTGGCATCGGAGCCGGGAGGGCTAGAGGGCGGAGAAAGCGCGATCGCGGCGAGCGCAGGCTGGACAAAAAGCGGAGAAGCAATGCATAGCAAATGAAGCAGCGCAGAAAATGGCCGCGAAAGCGCAGCGGGACGGGCCATGTCAGGCGAAGGCAGGTAAGGAGCGACGCGCGTTGGACGCGGGAGCGGAAGCTTGAGAGGAGGCGGACACGACGAGGATAAACTTGACTAGACGCGGGCGGAGGGGGGAGTTGGGTATATAACGGACGGGCTATGCTGGATCGAGAGCGCCGGGGATCCAACGCCGGTCTGTGGTCTGGTTGGAAATGGATGGCGACAGCATGTGGGTCGTGCATTTCCGGGGCCTGGGGCATAGAACATCTGCAGCGAGGGCGGGGTTGGCAGGTGAGCGTTACCGGACCGCTGGGATGGGCCATACAGCCCCCTCGAGCGGTACGAGCGGCCTCAACAAGAACAAACCTGTAAGAGGAGTTTGATGCCGTTCTGATCAGCACAGCTCGGGCACACGGTGGAGATCACATCACTCGAGACGCTTAGTGCTGCAGAATATGAGCCGCGGGTAAGTGCGCCTGGTCGACACAGCCGAGGAATGCAGGCACACGTACCCAGCCAGCGTGTTGTATGGTTCATGGCCGGTTGGAGCGGGTATGCAGAACTCTACATTGCTGGAGGAGTTGTGCGGCTGGAGAGAGGCCTACCGACTAGAGACGACTGGCCAGCTGTCCTCCCGTTCCACTCCCTCGGTCGCGTTCCTTATCTAGCCCAAATCAGGCCGCGCGACTCTGCACTGCTTCTTGGCATGTCAGCACATATGTGCTTGTCACAGACGGAACCACGTCAGGCGGCCTGGTGGTCTAGTAGTATGATTCCTTCTTAGGGTTTCTCACTATTTGGAGGAGGTCCCGGGTTCAATTCCCGGCCAGGCCCTTTTTTGCTCCCAGCGACTTTCTAACCCAGTACCAGATCTGAACGTATATGCCAAGATTTGCAAGTCTGAAACCTTCAATTACCCGTACCGAGAGCACGGCGTTCGTGCCCGTCGTCGAACGAGTGCATCCAGGCGAGATTCTTCGATCTAGTGGCGCTGCGTGCACACTGCACGACCGGAGATGATCAGGCTCTTTTCCCACTCCCACGGATATCTTCGGCTCCAAGCATATTTATCATCACAAACAAAGCTGAGAAGCGAAAGTACACGTTGATGATACATACATCCATCCTTCCGAGAAGATATCTGAGATTTCCTGAGACTCTGTGTCCAATGACGAGCATCCTACCGCTCACGAGATGAACGAGCGGCCAAGAGCCGCCGCCGCCGAGGCCATAGCGCGCACATCGCGCCTCCCGCTGAAACCCTCGCGCTGGGCATCGGGCATGGCACCAGGCATCCTCCCCGCGGTTGCGACAGCGGAGGTAGAACCGGACGTGTCCCAAATCCGCGCCGAGGGTTGCCCCATCCGAACCGAACGGAGATCGATTTGCGGCGGCCGCCCTCCATTGGACGGCGCAGAAACGCCTTGCGTGCCTCGACCAAACGCCGCGACGTACGGAGCGCCATCAAATGACCTCATCGTATCCTTGTCCTTGTCGAGTTGCTTGCGGAGAACCTTCACCTGCTCCAATAGCAGGTCTTTGAACTCCGGCTTGTCGTCGCCGTCGTGGCCAGCGAGAAGAACCAAGGAGGAGACGCTAGATGCGTTTGAGTCGTCAGGGAGCTGCGGCGATGTGATGGGAACCGACGAGTGACTCACAAGGCTTCCTTGAGGTAGGCAAAACTGAAGCCGTCGGTCTTTGAGGCGACCTCTTTCACCAAGCTGTCCGGGAAAGCGATGTTCTTGTTGTTCTTGAGCTTGTTCTGCCAGTACTGGATGTAAAGCGTACGCTCCTCCTCGTCAGGGTCGTCGAACAAGCTGGGAACTCGTCAATGACAGCCGCATAAACGTATGTTGGGATCACAAACTCACTACTTGCGGTCAAAGCGGCTCGGACGGTTGTTCAGGGCGGGGTCAAGCCGCTCGAAGTGGTTGGTTGTACCGATGAGGAGGATGCCGTCGTTGCCTTCCAAGCCGTCCAGCTGGTTCAGGAAGAACGACCGGTTGCCATCGTTGATGAGCGCGTCAAGGTCCTCGAGGATCAAGACGCAAGGCGCCATCTGCCTCGCCTTGGAGAACACCTCCGACATGGAGCCCTCTTCACCACGCCATGAGCGGAAGCTCTTCACATATAAAGGCGCGTAGCCGCGTGCATCGCAGTCCTTCATCACGGCCTTCATACTGATCGTCTTGCCGTTACCTGACCATGACTCATTGAGACTACCTCTCAAACACGAGCACGAGCACACTCACCTGGGGGGCCGTACATGATGATTCCACGCTGTTCATATGCATTTAGCGTCTAGCTGAATGGCCAAACATTCGCACAAACCTTCCACGGTATGCCGAGAGACTTGTAGAGCTCCTCAGAGTCAAAGAAGCCGAACAGGTCTTTCTTGAGTGCGGTCTTGAACTCCTCCTTCAAAATGACGTCTGCCCAGTTCGCCTTCTGCACCTCCGACCACAAGCTGTGGCTCTTCTGCCAGAAGCCGTTGTCGAACACTAGCACTTCATCATGGAGTTGGTCGCTCCATGCACCAGCAGCTATCAAGAACGACCGAGCAGGCTCCTCGGGCCCCTTGTGCAGAATGAAGTGCTGGGTCGTCTGACCAAAGCCGTAGGGATACTGATAGCTGCATGTCAACTATGCTCCCGCATGGCACCGTCAAGCAACTTACTCTAATCACGTATAACAAGAAGTCATACTTCTGCTCAGGCTGGTCAGTGCCTCATGATCGTGCGAAGTAACGCCGCAACGTACGTCCCATGCCAGGCGGAAAGCCCCGAACGAGATGCTGTCAACGAGGACGCCGGGAATTCTCGAGAGACGCCTGGCCAGAGGCACGAAGTGAATGGTGCTGATAATATCCGACGGGGAAAGAGGCTGGGCAAAAGCCCCGGGGAAGCCTAGGATGTTGATGTTCCCATCGTATGCAGCAACAATGGAGTGGTCGGGATACAGCTTGCGCAACTGCCTCGCTCTGTGAGGCGTTAAGCACCATCCTCCGACTCATTACGAAACAAAGTGAACGGACCCAAACTGTGCGGGATCCGCGAACTTCCCAGACGCTGCCATCACCAAGTCAATATGCTAAGCTCGTGAAGTCCACCACCCGAGCCGCAAGCGTGCAACCCACCCTGGTCCACCCAGGAATCATAGAAAGGATCTTCGGCATTCACGCCGGACTGGGGTCCGGAGCCGTTGTTGTCCTCCTCAAAGGTAACCTTGATGAATGCGTCCTCAAGGTCTTTCATATCCGTGGTACGCTTGGCTTGGTCCATTCGGAGGAGCAGGAGGGAAAGATGGGAGATGGAGACGATGCCTTCTCGCTGTTGTTGATCTAAGGAACGTCCTGGATATATAACGCGCGGCCTCGCAGTCCGCAGCGACGAGCGTTGGAAGTATGAATACCGAGCTGGGCCTGGGACCGTTGCTTGCTCAAGACGCTCAAGATCCCCGCAGCGGTAATATAGACGCTCATACCAGCGACGCCTTGATCAGTGCACGTGCACTGTTGACTCGGCCTTCTCCGACGCTGGCGAAAGCGGAAAGGCTGGCACAATTCTCCTCTCCACCGACGACCATGTCCTCCGCTCGGACGTCTACCATCTTCACCGTCGCGGCCGTCACGGTCCTCGGCGGCCTTGTCGCGTACGCCGTGTACTTCGACTACAAGCGGCGGAATGACATCGAGTTCCGCAAGAAACTGCGTACGTGGTGGTTCACGTCCGGCCTTTGTCCGCGCGGCAGCCTCACTGACGTTGGTCATACCACAGGGAAGGAGAAGAAGAAGGTGACGAAGCAGACTCAGCAGGCACAAGCACAGGCTGAGGCTGCTTCTGCGGTCAACCCTGCTGAGCTCAAAGCGACCATTCTCAAAATCCAGGCGGAGGAGCTCCCCGCGACGCCGGACGAGAAGGAGTCGTACTTCATCATGCAGGTCCAGGTCGGTGAGCAGCTGGCTCAGCAAGGTATGTTTTACACGCGTTATGGTCTCGCAATGGTGTGTTGTTCAACCCACGTTATAGGACCTGCCTTCTACCTCCCGGCTGCGGCGGCGTTCTTCCGCGCTCTGCGTGTCTACCCCTCCCCCGTGGAGTACATCATGATGCTTCAGCAAACGCTCCCGGCTCCGATCTTCAAGGTATGTGTATGCATGCTTCTTGTGAGGCCAGCTTTACTGATTGCTCGTAGATCTTTATGGAACTTGTCAATGCGGAAGTGAGTGGCGCCTCTTCATCGGAGAAGCAGCATGAGGGTCCTGGGGACGAGGAGACGAGCCCGACGAGGACAGGTCCTCCGTCGGAGACGTCGTCTCAAGAGTGGGATAGACTCACGGACCCGGGGAGCCAGCCGGCCCCTTGAGATCACCCTATCGATAGCACGACTTTATAATGCCGCTTATACGCTGCTGCACGCTATCCCATCTTCTCTGCTCTGCTTGTGCTCTGCCATCATCAGATCCTAATATACGCACTTTCTCCCCCTTCTCTGTCTTTTGCTGCGTAGACGGTTGCCCGTATCGAAGGTGAGCGTTGGTCTCGAAAAGTAAACGGAGCATTGGCTGAGATTATCGGGTGACGCGTGCGCGATAGGTTACTATGATCACTTCCCGCCGAAGAGAATGAATGTGTCCGTCCAGCTCGGGCCTCCCCAGGCTAATCAGGCAGCCAAGAAAATCCTCGTTGCAGAGAAGGACTTCATGCCCGGAGATGTCATTTACACGGTAATCCAGCGCTTGTCAATGAGTTGGACTGTCTCTCAATATGCGGTCCGCAGGAACACCCGGTCGTTTCCGCACTCGACGACGACTTGGAGGGCAAAGGCACCCACTGCTCGTACTGCTTCCGCGCTATCGAGGAGGGTACGGCTGTCAAGCCCGAGCATGATACGCTCGGTTCTGTATACTGCTCCGAGGAGTGCAAGAACGATGCGGAGCTTGCGTGGCAGAACATCTTGTTCGGTCTTGATCCCGTCCTCCCCCCTGAACTCGATAACGGCATGGGCGCGCTCACCGTTGAGCAGCGCAAGAAAGCACAGGCACCCTGGACAGAGTACATCACCAAGAAGTCGAAGCAGGCCAACCTGCTCGCCGCGCGCTTCGTCGCGAAGCAGATCGCGCACGAGACCGTCAAGCTGCTCAGCAACAAGCCCAAGGCGCTCATGGAGGAGCTCGAGAACATGTCCGACGGCAAGGAGAAGTACAACATCGGCGACCACGTCGAGCGGTTGCGCTTCGTCGAGGGCCACATCACCAACGAGGAGGTCAAGCTACTCGGTGCCGTCCTTGGCTCGGCGCTGCCGGGTGTTGAGCAGTCTGTCACAGAGGAACGGCATGCGGCTCTCGTTGGGAAGATGGAGTACAATGCCATCGGTGTCGTCATCGGCGAGGGCCGGGACGATAGGGTAAATCTCGTCCTTTCTTCTCTGGTTTAGTAGTTGGCTTATTACAGCACTTCAGCCCGTCAAGAGCGAACGCCCCGAGGAGCTTGAGCGCACTCGTACCCCGCACGGCACCGTGCGCCAGGTCGGCAGCGGCATCTACGTTGTCACGTCCTACGTGAGTTCTCTTCCCCGTCTGCCTCGCAGTACACCGCTAAACCACCCTGATCCAGGCCGCGCACTCGTGCGACCCGAACACGAAGCCCGTCTTCCCGAACGGCACAAACGAGCTCCACCTCATCGCGACGCGCCCGATCCAGAAGGGCGACGAGCTCACGATGGCCTGGGTCGACGTCTCCACGCCCGAGGGCGAGGACGCGGGCATCGCGCGCCGGCGGCGGCGCATCGAGCTCGCGCGCGGCTGGCGCTTCAAGTGCGAGTGCGCAAAGTGC